ATCCACGGTTCGCTTCCCATTAATTTGCGCCACGTTTCTTTCGTGTAATTGAGCCGCATACCGATTCACAAGTGCTTTTAGGCACGACTGCCCCTCCGCATTTTTTTGAGTGGATCAATCTCTTTTTGTCCGGCGAACGGTGAATGGACCAGTCAGCGCTCGCCTCCAGCCTCGGCGAGCATCCTAACGAAGCATCGATTTCCGAAATTAACGTCGTGGCGAATATAGGATTAATTTAGACGCGTGCAGGGATTAATTCGGATGCGGGCCGACACTCCGAAATGCGCGGATACAGTTTCCCGATTCACGTGATATCCGTAATCTTCCCGGGGGAAATTAACTTCCAGACAGTCCATCGCGATCAATGGGAGAGACGATCGATCTGTTAGACCGACGGAAAAATTGTACTTGCTGGACAAATCAATTCGCAATAATGACATTACGTTTAAATAACTTACGTAATTCGCCACTACTACTCTCTAAAGTTTTTGGAGTGAAAATAGAACCATGGAGTGAAACGTTCACTCTATTGGAGCAAATCTTTACTCTATTAGAATGAATATTTACTCCAATAGAGCGAATATTTCACTCTATGGTTCTATTTTCACTCCAAAAACTTTAGAGAGTATGCAATACACCCCGCGTACACTGGGAAAAAAGTCCGCAACCCATTGTGAAACCCACAATTACACAGTTGAAAAATTTGTGTTACATTTGACAAATACCACATGTCCCAAACGGTCCACACAAATATTTCTGTTAATTTAATATAATATGGATATGTTAAATGATTACACTAATACTCTGTTAATATTTTAACACAAAATAAATGCAAATCTCAAAATAATTTGAAATAAATTTGGTGTAAAATTAACATTTTTATGACAAAATAAATTTAAAAAAATGTAATTTTTACATTTTACAGATGTTTACAGATAATAAGTCAAACGACTCTCACTTATGTTATATAGAATAAAATTAACATTTTATTCTGTAAATTTTAACAGATAAATCTTGTTATTAATAATATGAAACATATGTATTGTGTAAGATTAACAAATAAGTGCACATTGTGTTGTTTTAACATTTCTTTTCACGTATTTTAATAATTTTACATTTGAGGCCAATTAACACAAAAGCAACATGTTAAATCAACACATGAATGTGTTAAACATTTAACACAAAAATTTTAACCGGCATTTTTTTTAACAAGAAAACACAAAAGATTCAACTGTGTGTTACTTAAAAATCTTGGATATAAATAGCTAATTGGGATTTTTACTTACGCGGGGTAAAATTCGTAAAAGACGTGAGTTACGAACGATCCAAGTAACTCGATTACTAATTGTGGGCCCCAAAATGGGTGGCTGTCTTTTTTGTCCCAGAGTACACACAGGTTCATTGTACACAGAATCCGTGCGTCAGCGCTTTCGAGTGAAATTATCTGTCGCGGGGTGACGAACGATCGCGTCGCGCCGATCCTTCATCTCACCCGGACACTTCCATATCCCAGCCAGACGACTCGCGAAGGGAATTCCTGCGCCGCATGAACGATCGGCGTCGATGAGGACAGCTCCCTGAGCGCCTCCACGCCTTCGCGAGAGAGCGCGGCTCGCCTTGCGAATTCGCGGAGCTTAGACGCGCCCGGAATTGCATTCAGCGATGCCGGAGAAATTGGATCCATTGGAGCATCAATTATCCGCGTCCCGCGGTCCTCGGTCGCACTTATGCACCGCGGGGGGAAAAATGAAATATTTCCAATTATGCAAATGCGCGCCGAAGGAGGAATCGACGATCCACTTTGCTCGTGAAACGAGTCTACCGTCCGCCGGCGCGGAAACCTCGATCAGAAAGAAAGAGACGTCTCGGTGTTTCTCATTGCTAACAATTGCGACGCGCCGTCGAGATGCTATTAATAAAAATCATGCTCGTGTGACAGACTTCCTGCACAAACCGCACGCGTTTTATCGGATTTTGTACTCGCGGCGCGATTTATCGGATCGCGCGCGTAATATATTTCGAAGTAGCTCTGCTACTTTCTTAGCTGCTCGTGCTAAGTGCGCTATTCTTTCCAACTAATAAAGTTGTATCTCGCAGTGATTGCATTTTACCTATAATCACCAACTTTTAGCAATGGTAACAAAACACTTAGCCTTTTAACTAATTTCAAAGCAGCTACTGCAATTTAGCTGATATTACTAAGTCATTTCTTTGAGTGTACCAAGTGAGAAACGATTCGTCAAATTGATGTCGAATCGACGTCGAATTTGACAGCGTCGATGTCGATTCTATATCATTTTGACATCGATTGACAAGTCATTTCTCGTTGGATATGCCATGTCTATGGTGTTAACGTAGGGGGAAAAAAGAGCCCGATAATTAAACGCGTTTTCTTCTTGCTCCATATATACATTACTGCGCGCATTTGCACTTTTTCCCCCCCTCGTCAAACTTCATTAAGAATGATTCTCGCTCTTAGAATTACCGCGCAGCGCCGGTGAAAAAAAAAAAAATATTACGCGCAGCTGACAGCCCGTATAATTGGAACATTACGACAGCCGAGGGTTAAGGCTGAGCGCGTTAGCTTCTCGGGATATCATTCGAGAAGACGGGGAAATGGAGTTGCACACCGTGGGCTAATTCAGTTCAGGCTCGGTGCGCGTTCCGCTACGCATACACCTGCGTACGGAGACGTCAATTATCACTCGCGACGCTCGAGTTGGATTCGATTTGCTCGATCGTTAATTAGAAAATTGCGCTCAATTAAGATTTATCATCTCGTCCGCCTCGCGTGCAAATCGCAGCGCGCGCGCGTCTCTCCTCCTCGTTTTCCCCCGCGCGTTCCGCGCCGCTTAAAATAGCCGGAGAATTTTCACGGGCCGCGTCCAGCGTTCGCGTTGCCGCTGCGAACCTGCGTACAAAGAACATCTCGCGGGAATTACGGGGGGATATGAAGCGAGTTTAAATTTAAACCTTGACGCCTGTAACGTCTCTCTGCCTCGCTCGCGTTCGCGCGAACGCTGTTGCGAAACCCGACTGGACCTTCCGAAGGTGAGCGCCTCCGCGAAGGAACTTTTGCGAGAAAAAAAGAGATCGCGATTCTAAACCGCCGTCGCTTTCACGTCCGATCTAAAAATAGTCGGGCTCCAAAGTTCTCGGGATAAAGTACAAATGGCACGACAGACGTCGAATGGACAGTTTTCCCCCCTGTGTCCCTTCTACGAACACGTGTAAAATTTCCAAACTCGTTCCGTCAAACCAGATCCTTTTTTGCAGATCTTTGAAAAATGCACAAACTCGAAGCGCGTGCCGCGAGCAAGTATTTCGCGCGGAAGGGCTTATATTTCTTGCATACCGGTACGACTTTCGCCGGTAAGCCCTTCCCCGCAGAGGATTTGATCCACCGTACAATTCTGAACTTGTAGAAAAGTCCAGGTTCAGGGTGGTTTCGAAAGGGATAATTATTTTTGTAGGTTGATTTATTCCGGGATAGCGCGAACGCAGTCCCGACTACCAAAAATTATACGTCCGAGATATCCACATTAGGGATATTCGCAAGGGTCAGCCCTAACCGTAGTGCAATGGAAGAGCCTCGCCCTGGAGGAACCGCCTTGATGATCACGGTAACCTCTACGCCAGGTAAGTATGCTTTTCCGTGCTCGCTCACCTCTACTTATACTAGTCGCCACCGAATCTTAAATACGAGTAAAGGCTTGACGGTGCTGCGCGGCGTAGCGTCAAAACTCGGAACTAGTGTCTGGCCTCTCGGCGCAGCCTCCGTGGGGGGATGGGTTCTATCGGGTGGGGGCCTATGAATGGCGGGTAACGGTTCGCGCAGGGGCTTTTAGGGAATTGAAGGGAACGCTAACCGGAGTTAAAGTCACGTGAATATAAAAATATCGTAATAATTTATGCGTAGCATAAAATATATGTGCATTTACGTACGTATACGTTACTACACGCACGCAATATTGTTATATAAATTTTGCTTATATAATAATATATGAAATGCAAATTAAATTTATGTAATAATAATATAAATTTGCATCTTTTTCACGGTAAGGAGAAGAAAAAGACGACGACGGTGGGCCGAAGGGCTTCGAAGGGGCGAGGATAGCGTTGACGCGATCCGGAATGGACGACGCCAGTGTGCCGGAGGAAGAAACGGCTCGGTAAGATATTCCGACCGGTGAATAAATCGCCGGTGGCAAGGCCGCGGACTAACGGCCGCCAGTCCGGCGTCGATACTGCCGGTTGCAACGCGCGGGCGAGGATGCGTTCGATACGCATCGCGAGCGTGACCGCGGGCTTCCCTGCAAAGCCGAGCAGCGTCCCGTCATTTTTTCGAAAGACTATTCGCGTTTAACTCGCGGAAATTTAGGAGAGAATGTAAATTTCGTCATTATAAGAAACAGACGTATATAAAATTCTGCAGACAAGAAAAGAAAACAATTAAAGCGTTTAACAAAAGCTTTCTGGTCTTTTTTTATTTTATATTTTCGGGTGAAGTTAGGCGCAAAGATGCGATCGGAAATGTGCGTCTCTGTACCATGCATGTAGGTTAAAATGTAATTTGATACGAAAATCGAATAAGTTTCTCCCGATCATGATTGAAGGAAGTTGTAAAATGTGCGTAACGTTCACGCCAACGAGAATAAAAAGGTTGTCATATACAATCTTTTCCTAGCGTGGAAAGATGAATGCTTGAAGAATATGCAGCATTGTATTGGTAACGTATTTCGTAAATTAACGATATTATTAGAGGAAAGTCCTCTATTATGAGATAGGTCTCTAATATGAGATAGCAGATTTTTAACGCCCAAATTCAGTCACAAATCTTTTTAGAGGGAAAGTCCTCTAATATGAGATAGCAGGTTTTTAACGCCCAAATTTAATCACAAATCTTTTGAGAGGGAAAGTCCTCTAATATGAGATAGCAGGTTTTTAACACCCAAATTCTACCACAAATCTTTTTTCGCAACTAAGCAGATTTCGCTCCAAGGGCTACAAATTCATGTTGAAATGAACTGATAATTATATTATTTATTAATTATTAATTTAACAGAAAGCCCGCTGTCCCATTAAGATCCCCTATCTCATAATAGGGGACTTTCCTCTATATCTAGCTTTACGAACTCACTTATCTCAACATTTTCGAAAGTCACAGCAGATTGCCGATTAGGAAGCATGCGAGTTTTAGTCGGATGAGCCGGAGATGCCGAGACAATGCCGCAATCCAAAGTGCATTGGAAGTAAAAAGAGTTTGACGTAAGAAACTGTACAAGTTACAAATAGAAAACAATGTTGAGAAACCATACGTGATTATGTAACGTTGCACTCCGACATTTTCAACTTAATTTTTGTCACGCATTTACCTGCTTTTTTCCAAATTACAATATTAATAAAAAATGAGCCTCGGTTTCTTCTTCTCGTTTTCCGCCCCTATATCGAACATGCATCTTTTTATCGTCCTCTTTATTCTTAAAGTACGTTGCATCTTCAGTTTTTCTTAAACGTTCATTGCGTTATCGCGCGAAATACACGTTCGTGATGTGTAAATGTAACTGTCTGCCGTGTATTGAGCTCGTGGGTTCGCTAAACCCAAATGACTGTGCGGATCAGTCATCCCTGCGGGAACACGTCTCTCTTGTAAGCTCGTCACGAATCGCGGCGTCTCGCGAGGATCCACCAGTCACTTCGCGAAAAGCCAACATTCGCAATCGGATTCTTGAGGAAATGCCGCGTCACCGGGCGCGGGATCTTCATGAAATGCCGCGTTTTACGATAAGGCTGCGGCGTGTGCACACAGTTTACCTTCGCGCGTACCTGGAAAGTATTTTCTTTACCGCTGATAGCAGTCATAAATACAAGAACAAAGAGAAGGATCCGGGGCCGCCGTCAGCGTCACGTCCAGACCCTTCGGGCAACTCCGCAGCATCGCGAAATAAAAGGACGCGGAAACGTGCGGAGGCTTCGAGGCCGAAGCGTTCCAGAGACGGCACGACGTATTCGAGAACGCCGTTTAACGAGTCGAGTAATTGCAAAAAGTATTAAACAACTCGCGTTTTGCGCCAACGAAATATTTTTCGGGGGAAAAAAACAAATTATGTGACAAGACTCTGCAGTAAATTATGAAATTTTAGCTAGCGCGCGTTCTCCACGCGATAAATGCGACGGATATCGTTACGAAAAGAGTAAATCAGATTCTTCGGAATTTAATTTGCATTCCTAATTCAAAATTATTTTCAGCGAGAGAGACGCCGGGCGTCGCGGTCGACCCACGAAAGTGTTCGGCTTCGACACGAAAGCCGCGGTGAGACGCCGAATGATAAATTCAACATTCAATGACATCGCGGAATATTCCTTCTTTTGTAATTTCGACCTTGCTTTCCCCACATTCCTGGGAATCCTTTCTTTCGTACCAGCTTACTGACTCAACCAGATTCCTCTCTAGACTAAAATAACAGCACACGACATTACATGCCGAGCATCCTGGTACATTAGTATACCTGCTACGTATTAAAACCCACTACCGTTAGGCAGCACTAAATACTGAGGATGATAAAAGGTGCAAGAATAAAGAGGAAATACGCGAACATAAAAATATCAGCAACGTCAGCGTTTTCTTGGCCATACCTGGGCATTTTTAATAATACAGAAAATTTATTGCGAAAAACATTACCTCAGCCAGGGTTTGAACCTAACATTTTTCTCACCAATTCGACCACTGAGGCGTGTGGTAATATTTGTCGCAATAACAGTATAAAGATGTCTATTTTTCGACTTTAATTGGTGAGACGCCCGCCTACACCTCTTCCTACACTCTAGGCGGGCGTCTCGCCAATTAAAGTCGAAAAATAGCCAACATCTTTATACTGCGACAAATATTACCACACGCCTCAGTGGTCGAATCGGTGAGAAAAATGTTACCTCGGCCAGAGTTTGAACCTGGACCTCCCTACACTCTAGGCGGGCGTCGCACGCAATAACAGTCTAAAAATGTTGTCTACGCGTCTATTTTTCGACTTTAATTGGTGAGACGCCCGACTAGAGTGCAGAGAGGGAGGTCCAGGTTCAAACCCTGGCTGAGGTAATATTTTTCGCAATGAATTTTCTGTATTATTAAAAATGCCAGGTATGGTCAAGTAAACACTGGCGTTGTTGATTACCGCTGGCGCGACGTTGAAGAATATTCTGATTAAGAAAAATATCAGCGTGCAGAGAATGATTGCTCGAAGCTCAGCGACCACATTTGTCGCTCGTACTCGGCAGAACGGAGTAAAACTAACGAATAACGCAACGTAGTCAATAAGTCGAAACACGACGGTCTTATCGCATCTGTTTGAATTGTGTGCAGCACGTCGAGCACGGAACCGAGCGCGTCCGGACGAGTTTCCGGCAGTTCCCGGGATTGTAGGCAGCAAATATGTACCTGTCGCGCAGGTGACGGGAAAGAGTGTTAAAAAAGAGAGGAGAGAGAAAGAGATTCTTCAGACTCGAGGCGTGTCGGAGAACACTCGCATTGTTCACCCGTGAATTTTTGGCAGAGCGTCGCGGTACACGGGGCGGAAATTCGCACGGACACGCAGATCCGCGGAGCGCGTCCGCGGAGAGGAGCAAGAGGCGGAGGAAAGGATCGCGTCGCCGACGTAAAAAGGCATCGAGAAGAGAAAGCGATCGACCGAAGCACGGCTGTTTCGCGACGCTCTGCGTCTGTGTGCGAGGTCGCGGCTCGGATGAGCTAAGAGCTCGCAAATACACGTCGTCTCGCGAGATTTCTTCGCATCGCGAACGCCGATCCGTTACAGTTAATCTACAATTATATTAATCGCATATATCTGCAATGATATGAAAACCGCATATTAATTTTAAATATTCGTTTTTTAAATTGTCTGTCGTGGAGCAGCTTTGTCGTACGTTTGACAATTATTCCTTTCTTTTGATAAAACGAGCTTTTTTAAATTGGAGATTAAAAATAAAAATTGAAAAATTGTAAATTTCATCTTGGGGAATACATTTTCAAAGGCGCTCGATGTGTAAATACTAAGAAAGGCAAATTGAACACATAAAAGTATCAAGATGGAACGACACGCTGCTGCGATTAATCGACTTTTTACAGGACGGGCAAGAAAAGACGAAACGACGGACACGCAGAAACGTATTAAACGACACGCAAGTGGATGGATATACTGCAGGTCCGTCGACCAGCGAGAGGGAACCAGCACTCAAACATTCGCGCGAATTATCGCCAGCAAAACCAAAGTTAGCATATTTATATTTCTTACGTAAGAGATAGCGTTTCGTTAACAGCTTCTACTTGATTATCGACGCTTGCAGTGAAGAACGGAGCATCATTATCAGAAGGTTAAATACTGTTCGCAGAGGAATTGGCAGATTTGCTCGCACAATTAAATTGGTAACAAGAAAACAGTAATTTAGTAGCTTCGGATGGATTTGCATTCCAAATGGTTTAAAATGTTCTAAAACGTTTTTATACTTTTACGCTTCTCAATGTTGTATAAAATTATCGAAATGATATTCGTCTAACGAGTCTGTAACTTTAACTGAATATTAGAATAATGAATTATACATTTCTGCGGAATAATTTTTGGAAATAACATGTTTTAACAGAAATGGATTGTAAAAACATATTTGTCCACCTCGTTGTTTTCCACATATTGTAATGTCATATTTTTATATACGTGCATAAAATAGTTTAAAAGAAAAATGATATATATAGTAATAATTTTGTTCTATATTGCTTGGACTGATTGCAAGCTTTGATATTTTTGAAGTATTAATCGGCTTGACGTTTCGAAAATATCAAATGCCATGTCTCTTTTCGACAATTTATTCAGCAATATTATTAAAGAATTCACAAAGCAGTCCTTGTGTGGAATTACACTAAAATGTATCTCAAATTCGGTATATCGAGGAAACAGTAACCTGAGCTGAATCGAGGATTGTTAATTGGGTATCGAGTATACTTATGTATGTATTATGTTGATATTGCTATCTAATACATTACATGAAAGTAACGATGTCTGTGTCTTACGTGTTGTATCTTTACTATCTTCCTATGTAACAGTTCAAGATGTGGACGATGATATACAAAATTCGCCGCAACTGCTTCAACACAATAATCTATGTTACCTATTACGAGGTCCATTTATAAATATAATATTCCACATGCAGTGCCAGAGGCAGTGGTCATGAATGAGGTCAATCAACGTCATTATGTTACCATTTGTTACGTTACCTAAAAACACATATTCCTCCGTACTCACTCGTAACTTCCGGCTAATCGTTATCCTTAGAATGTCGCATATATTCATACTACACATGCAAACGTATCGCGTTCCGTTGAAATGAAATAAAAAAATATTTTGTGGACATGTTCTACATGGGCACAATCTTTCCGAGAAGCGTCAAAAGCTTCGAACAATCTGCTTCGATGCGAAGTTCTGTGCGGTCATCAGGCCGAGACAAAGGCTCGCTGAGAGTAACTTAAGCTATTATATTACGTACGCGTGAGAAATGAGTCTCAAAAACACTGGAATGATCGGTCCCTCCTCAAAGGAACCATCGATCGCTAGCATAGTCAGCGCGTTGCCGAGTCGAACGAGGCGACGTTCCCGTCGCGTATTACTCAAAATGTAGCGCGAAACTCGAATAAATTAGGCTAAACGTGTGCAACAAGCGTTCGAGTTTGGCAAGTCGAAGAGTAAATATCTCCTACCGCGATATTATTATCTCAGCGTTTCATCTCGAAGGGAGAGACGCATATAAGACGAGGAAATGCGAATTCACCGCGTGCTACGCCTGCTAGTATTCCGTAACTGCTTCTCGATTTCAAATTGCCGTAGGTCCGCTCTCTGCAGAAAATCTTGCCGCTCTAGATACCCGTCCTTGCCTTTGTTGTGAGTATTAAGTTCTTCCTCAATGTTTTCCTGCTTCTTGAAGCTGTCCCAGTCTAATTTGGACTTTTCTAACGTACTAATTTTGGCCTTTTTCCCGATCTGCCCTAGAACCGAAGAGATGCCGCCTAATCCGACGCGCCTAACGCCACCTCCTCGCTCTCGTTCTCTGGCCGCTGGTGACGCCGACGCCGGTGGCTTCGCGGTGGAATTCTCGGCCGCGGAAAGCGACAATCTGGCTTCCGCGGAATCACTCGGTACTTCCTTCTCCACCTTCACTTCTTCACCAGCGAATTCGAAAACCTTAGTTATCTTGACCTTTTCTTGGACTTTTGGCTTTTGAATCGGCGGCAATCTCTCGTTCGACTTACTGATTGAATTCTGTGGCTTTGATTTCGGGACAGCTGCAAAAAGAAAAATATATTTTCGCCTTTGTGCATTTCTTTAGCTATTATATTAGCTCTTTTTAAGACTCATTGCTTCTATCGACTCCGTTTTCTAATGCAATGGTATTAAGCGCAAAGGCAGTCTCAAATACATCTCCAGAAGTTATGCAGGGTGATTCAGGACCTCACCGACAAACTTTCAGGAACGATGGGTCTCGCAGAAATATCATTTTTTGTCGTGCAACCCATGTCCTCTGACGCGTCGTTTAGGACGCGACCGCGAAGGTCCTAGGTGACATTTATTACAATTGTGAAATGAATTTATCTACGTAGGCCCGACTTAACGCCCATTGATTTTTTTTCTTTGGGGACGTGTGAAGAGTGGTCCTGTGTACACCACACCAGTTAACACCAGAGAGGAATTAATTGTACGAATGCGCGCTGCTTTTGACCAAATTCAAATATATCATGATATTATAATAATATTACGGATATAATTATAGAATTATAAATTAAATTGGTATGTTAGGCTCGTTCTGTGTGAGAACAAATGAACATAAACAGTGGGCCGATATCAACACGAGCGATATAAGATGAGAGTCAAAAATTAAAAATTAAATATATATTTAGAGTAACTTGATGGCGAACGTTTCGGTGTCACGGCACCTTCTTCAGCGCAAGTTTACATCGGTTTAATTAGTTTAATATGTAATTACAATTAACGATATTGTCGAGGGTTAAGGATCAGCTTATTACAGTGGTACGGTCGAAAAGTAAAATTCAAATATAGTTAAAAGTTTTCGAACCATCAATCCATCCTAACGTGTCGCATCTTGACAACGTACACGATCTGTTGTAGTCTTTTACGCTTGAGTTGGAGATGTTAATTGGAGGGAGTCTAATTATAGAATTATAATTACGGAGCATCATATTGTACCTTGTACTTAAAGATAAACGACTTCTCAAATATCATTTTGCACCATTTAGTACAAATTTAATAAAAGAGGTACAAAGTACGGAATGTTCCATGCTCACGCACAGCTCAATGCTACAATATGTTGCCCAGGCTGGTTTACCTGTATCCTTCATGAAATCAGCCCAGAGAGAATCCGCTCTCTTCTTCTCCTCTTCCTCAGTGAGCGCCTTTTGCTCCTTACACTCCTCCTCCTCTTTACTTCCTTCCTCCGGCACTTTCGACTTTTCTAACGCCTTTCTTCGCTTTTTACTCCTTCGCCCCTTGGATCTCCTCGTGCCTCTCTTCCGTCCAGTCTCTCGCTTGTTCTCATCGTTCTCATCCTCCGGGCCGCTCTCAATATCGCCCTCGGACTCTACCTCGGACACCGGATCGCTGTCAGCGCCGTCAGGAACGTAATCTTCGTCATCTTCATCCGAGTCAGAAGGCAGCTGATGCTCTTCCGACATGTTCAAATTTAGATTAGCGCAGACGATACCTGGAAGAAGACGATTAAAGTGTGTATCTACCTAAAACTATGCCACGTATTTATTGTAACTTGGCCGCAACACTTTCGTTAAGAGAATAAAATTTTCTAAATTATATTTTCTCGCAATTGTATTTACAAACATTCCACATCCCCCTTTTCACGATCAATAACGACACATTTGACAAAGTAACGCACTGTATCGACGTGCAACGTTGCATTTTATCCAATTTTATTTCATAATTCTAAAATTATCCTAAAACACCAGGTGCCGTAAATGGCAATTAGTGCACAATTGTTGACTCAGACTTAAGCATTTTACGTTCGTTTATTCGTTTTTGAACTACGTTTCGTACGTCGGAACTGTTAACTCGAGCACCGTTGTTCTTCTGTTCAATACTCGAACAAAGCCGCGGGGGCACAGCTCCGAGAGAGAGAGAAGGAGCTTCGCAAATTAAAAATCCTACCAAATTGCCGCGCTCCCTTCCTGCGACTGTCGCGAGACTTAACCTCCCCGATCAAGCGGGACAGGCCGACCCTCGGCGCAACTGAATCGCGGTGGGTGCTCGTGCGATTTCGTGACTCACGTTCTTTTGAACGGCGTGCCCGTCGGTGCCAAAAATTCCGCGAGCGGACGTCGGTTCGCCTTCCGGAAATGCCGTTACATCAAGACGCGGCGGCGGATCCGGCGTTCTCGTCGCCGCGTTCATCAATCGCACGTCGGCGCGGGCCTAAATCGATCCCGCGCGTGCACGCACCGGGCGTGGAGCACCGGCCTGGCCGAAAAATCCGTGGGAAACACCTCGGGGGTAAAAGGGGCCGCGCAAGCACCTCGCGGACACACTCGACCCGACTCGACTCCGCACGACTCGCGCAAACGCGCCTGGCACGTATCGCGTCGCACGTCGCACTTATCGGCACAACCGGCGCCATCTCGCAGCGGGCCGGCGAAGTGCGGCGCGAAGTTAGAGGCGCGCCGATCGCGCGCGAGTTCAACTCCCGCGAGTTTCTTCCGACCGCGACTGGAAGTGAATTTATTTTTCACTCGACAGAGACGGATTTCTTCGCATCAGTTCTTGTATCTTACGATACAGTGAAAATGCTAAAAGTGAGCGACTTTGTCTCTTTCTAAGAGGACGGTTAGAAAGAGACAAAGCATTCGTTTCTAGCATTTTCGCTATAGCGCTCGAGCTACAGAATTGGCCCCCTTGTCCCTTTTTAACGGTATTTTTCGACGCTTTCCGAATCGAGGGAAAGAATCAGAGGCGTTGAAGTTGCGAGACGTTAACAAATTGTTAGAAATTACTTTCGTTCCTATGAAATTCTCTCGGGACTGTCTGCGATTCGCATTAAACCCAAAATTTGAATTACGATTTTATATGCTGCGTATTTTGATACACATGTACGTATTAAATATATTGAATATTTAAATAAACGCGCGGTATATTTTTAGAAGTAATAGATAATATATAGAGGAAGGTCCTCTATTACGAGATAGCAGGTTTTTAACGTCCAAATTCAATCACAAATCTTGTTTCGCAACGATTACACGATCCAACGATCAATTTTCCACTGAACAAATTTCACTTCAAGGGCAATAAATTCATGATGGAACCAACAGATGACGCCTGTTAATTTAGCAGGAGCCCTGCTATCTCATATTAAGATCTCCTATCTCATATTAAGGGGATTTTCCCCTCTACATTTAAATCAATATTGCTAATTAATCTTTACTTTGCCTCCGCACTGCTTCCGGTTAAATTCTGTGCATTTCAAACAGCAACTATAACTATTGCGATCCGCTGTTTTCGACGATGGAAGATGTTATAATGTTATACGGACCGCATCTATACGTATTTTCGCTAAGAGGATTTGACACTGTAAAACGCTCGTAAAATATTCATGTAGGATATTAAATCTATCTACAACATCTTTTGCTTGTGTTAGGTGTTGAGTACCCCGCTCTTGTTCATGATTTGTTACAAGTCTCTTAAACGCCTCCACATTGGTGAGAAAAAAAGGTCGGGGTGTCGGATTGCCAGACATCTTTCATGAATTTGTCGTACGATAATTCAGCGCCTTCTTCAGTACCCTAAGTAGGATCAGCAGGGGCCACCGCAAACCTCGTATTACAGGATCCATTTCGAATCCTAATTTCGACGAAACGGACGACTGCCAGTTGACGGGGATTTGCGATGGATTATGGATCAGCCGACCCTTCCTCTCGGAGCGAAAGTCTGAATAGATGGGGGCAGAGGGGAGCAAGCGTGAACGTGCCCGGGAAATACAGTCGTAAGGGCATAATTCGAAGTCATTGTTAGCGATATTGTTGAACATATTAGGGATCCGACGCGCGAATTAAATACTATCGCGATGCCTCGTACGCGAGAAGCTAATATATTCCGATGCGCCAACAATTACGCAACTGCGCGAACCCGCGCGGATGGTTAAATAATAATTACCTCAATCTAGCGTTAAATGTATTCTCGAAGCTCGAGAGAGCATGAGATTATATATATGGAGAATTTAACGCAATTAAGTACAGAGTATCACATATTATAATTACGCGAGAATACCTGAAGAGCATTCTCTCTTTGTTATCGGGTGGTAGAGGAAAGCCCTCTATTATGAGATAGGATTCTAATATGAGATAGTAGGTTTTTAACATCTACATTCAATCTTTTATCGCAACATCACACGATCTAACAATGAAATTTTCCACTAAACTGATTTCACTCCAAGGGCAATAAATTCACGATGGAACCAATAGATGATGCCTGTTACGCAGTTGAAAAATTTATGTTTTCTTGTTAAACAAAATGCCGGTTAAAATTTTTATGTTGAATGTTTAACACATTCATGCGTGTTAATTTAACATATTGCTCTTGTGTTAATTGACGTCAAATGTAAAATTACTAAAATACCTGAAAGGAAATGTTAAAACAACACAATATAAGTTATTTTTTAATCTTGCACAATACATATATGTTCTATATTATTAGTAACAAGATTTATCTGTTAAAATTTGCAGAATAAAATGTGAATTTTATTCTATGTAAAATAAGTGGGAGTCGTTTGACTTATTACATCTGTGAAATGTAAAAATTATATTTTTAAAAATTCTTTTTATCATTAAAAATATGTTAATTTTACAGAAAATCTATTTTAAATTATTTTAAGATTCGCATTTATTTTGTGTTAAAATATTAGCAGGGTATTAATGTGATCACTGAACATATCCATATTATGTTAAATTAACACAAAAATTTGTGCGGACCGCTTGGGACATGTGATATCTGTTAAATGTAACACAAATTTTTCAACTGTGTAGTTTAGCAGAAACCTTGCTATCTCATCTTAGGAACTTATTTCATAATAGCGGACTTTCCTATAATATTTAGGTCAAAAAAATACTGAAGAAGTCGTACATCTTAAGGAATAAAGTGCAACGATGATTACGATAAGAAATTAAATTCTTCCATATCTGGTGAAATGTCAGCCTTATCCTATCTACTATTAAATTTGCCGAGTTATTTTGAACCGTTTCCATGTCGTCACGCTGCAACGCGTTGTTGATTTTAACTAAAACAATGGAGTTAAATAAGGTGTCATTTGTGCTTCTTTTATCTTACAGCGACTGAATAGAAATCAAAGCCGGTCGATCAAAATGAACGATCACCATCAACGTGAATGTGAAAAAATTACGCGACAAAGTTTCAGAACCAGAACTAGCGGGACTTGGTTTCTTGCATTTCCGTCGAAACAGATAAAAAGAGAAAGAGGGGGGGGGGGCGAAAGGGAGAAAACCAGGAAGGATGTGCCAGGTGGCTACGAATGCCACGGCGTACCCGCGGATTGGATCGAGCAGCATCTCGGAAAACGAGATGAGGCGAATGAGACCGGCGGCTGATATTCGAAAGCTCCGCCTGGTTTTCGGCACGTCCCAAATCTCCGCGTCCCTCCAACGAGCACATCTTCATGTCTGTCTCGTCCCATTCGCGTTGCTCCTCCCTGGTTCATCTTTCGGCTTCTCCTTCGGGAACATTGACTAACAATTAGTTGCACGCCGCGGACGCGACCCGCTGTGACGTTCTACCCTGCCAATAGACACCCGCGTGATCGCGAGTAAAAAAAGGAATAATCGATCGCAGGTATCGAGCAAGTGCAAATTGTGCCGTTCGGGCGCAAGTGACAATGACGTTGATCAACGATCAAAGTGTGGCCATTAAGAAAAGAAAATAATTTCTATGCCTCTTTCTACGCAAAGTTACGTCGCGTAACTTTGTACTTTGGTCCTCGGTCTCTATCTTGAGAGAATTGGGTTAATATTAATGAGTTAAAAAAATTAAACAGTGATTTGCGGCAGCTTGTTATTTCGGACTTTGTCACTTGTGTTCACTTATGTCCGAAGTTCCGTGTGATTATAAATATATTTCGTTGCGAATGTGTGTTAAAATAAACTGAAGTCTCGTGCCTTAAGAAATCTTTAGATTATGTATGTGCCAAGTTAAACAACAGCTATTAAATTTTTACCGTAAAGATTATTATTCGCAAAAATATAATAATTTGTCAAATTTTAATCGACCCCAGCCACATTTATTGAATACGCCTTCACAAATTGTAATCGTGGAGCAACACGGCATTTCGAAGAATTTTATTAAGTCTTTGAAATTTTACGATACATTTTGCTACTAATTATACTTATTGTTAGTATAGTAAAATATATACTAGTAAGATGTATGGTAAAATTTGAGAAAATTCTCATAAAGTTCTTCAAAAGGCCATGTTATCCTACGATTACACGATTTTCAGGGTAAATTTTAAGAAAAAATCCTCTCGTGGAACATTAATCTCAGAAAAACGTTAAGTTGAACATAAGGGTAGTTTTGGAGATATGGGGAGTCAAGTGGGCAAATTCCCAATATTGTCCAGGCATAATAGACGCAGAAAAAACTTCTTTGATAACAATGGGATTTTGATTGGAATTAGTCAAAATGATTCTCTGACTATCGCAATTCTCTAACTCAGAGAAGTAAAATAGAAGTTTCTAATATACTAAAGAAAGTTACGCTTCCCCTGTAATCAAATGAACAATTTCTTAAATGTCTCTTTCATTGCGATAAATAATAATAATCTACGTTTCAATTTGCGCACGTAATTGTCAAGTAACTAAACAATAATAGCTTGTTGATGCGACAGGATGCCTCGAAAACGACGCGCCTCGACATCGTCGTTGGAAGAATATCCTTCTGACGAAAAATACATGAAGGACGACATGGACAGTCGTGCTCCGCGAAACGCTGCCAACGCCCGAGAGAGGGCTCGGATGCGCATTTTAAGTAAAGCGTTTTGCCGATTGAAAACGACTCTACCTTGGATTCCAGCCGATAGCAAATTGAGCAAACTGGATACGCTACGTTTGGCCGCCACGTACATCGCTCATCTGCGAGCGGTGCTTCGAGATGACGGCGAAGCCCACCCTGAAACCACTAAATCCTTGTCGCTGGCCTTGGTGAGTGTCCGTGTCTATCCTTATTAAAAAATATAACTATTTGAAGTCTGTGCAAGCTCGCCTTCTTTTCTGATTGTTGAGGAAATTAATTCAGCTTCAAGTAACGTTGACAGAATCGTACTAGCAATGAAAAATTTTATAGTAATCAAGCAAAAATGAGCAATTACTTTATTAAAAAGAGAGTCATTGGAATTAACGAGAGGAGATTCTAGAAGAGATCCAAGTGTCTTGCAAAATTTTTCCGTAAAGAGTCTCAATTGCATTCATTGTTGCTTGATACACAATTGCAAGATATTCCACAAAGTGTGGAACTAAACAGTGCTATTTATCTGATTTTAACCGGAGATCCAAGTGAGAGTTATTTCCAAACTATTTCTCGCGCTCTTACAATCAGACTTTCGACTTGATAACGATTCCGTAAAATAACACAGAGACCAGGTGGATCCACTCGGAGCCGCGAGCGCCGTCTTCGCAGTCATCCACTCTGTTTATGTCTGTCCAGGTGGATCGAATCACTCCAAAACCTTCCACCCACCCTTTACCACCATTAATTCTAAGTTAGTTCCGTTGTTTGAAGAAGCATACCGGTTTCCGCCGCGAAATACTTGCTCTCTCATTGCCCTCCTCTCGCCAAGATCAAACAATTTATCTGTAAAACCGCCTCTGCGCGGATCCGAATAAATTCGTGTTACGCTAAAAGAAACGTGAGATTATGTGCTATCTCTCGTGATAGCACATAAATAGATGCCTTCTAATTTACAAATGCAACGTTATCGACGTCGACGCTTGTAATTATCAATCGGCATTTTACGGCCTTCGACGAATTGTAATCTAATACATTTAGATGCAATTCAATAATGCGGTAGGAATAATTTTAATTACAGTCATGGCCGTTCGCTATTCAAAGTAACAATGCAGCCACGCTTATGAACAACAGTTGCAACGTGTCCTCCTCGACGTCTTCGAGCTGTAATCAGTATCGAGGCCAGCAAGCGACTCATGATATCCAAAACTTCCATCATTCAGGTCATCAGGGCGGGTCCGCGCGCCACAATCAGGAGCAACAGTTCTCTTATTACTAGCAAAAAATTCTGACAATCCGATCAGAGCCTAACTACAGCGAGCGATATCTACGAAGAACGACCACCAGCTGGGTAAAACGACGACGACGACGGTGCTACGTCGTGCCTTATTTATTCCAAAGTGCCTTACTCTAGTATTTATTGACTTAATCTTAATGTATAATTACTATTTGCATCTTCACTTTTGCGCGACAAGGGAATGAAGGCTAATCTACAACGTGTCCTTTGCGCCTAGAAACATTCCATTTCCTAGCCAATAAATACCTTTACAAAATTTGGGCAAGTTGATAAATTATGCAAAATGTTTTTACATAAAATAGAATGTTTCTAGATGCAGAAAGCACATTGTAGATTAGGCTTAATACTTATTCATGACTCGACTGTATGCATTTTTGTATATCAAAGAATGTATAATCTATTTTGCACATTTTAGGAAGATTCAGTATAGTAAAATTATACACATAGTAAAATACAATCGTATTTTTGTTTTATATTTTATAAATAGGAGAAAAACATTCAGTAATCTAACGTTCTCGAGTTGTCTTTGTTCGACATCTTTCGCGAAGGGATGTTATACATTCGCGAAGATTGTTTCCTTGTCTCACGTACTCACTGCAATATCATATAATATTGTGATCGTAACTGATACCAAAGCATGTTAGTACAATAAAATGTCACTAGAATTTTCAAGAACCTCCCTTGTATTATTTAATGCGATATCTTCTACCGAAAGATGTTATTCGTTCGCAGAGAGATTGTCTCACGCACTTGCCGAATCATATAATATTGTAATCATAATCGATACCGAAACATGTTAACTAGTCCAATAAAAACGTTTGTAAGATTTTCAAGAACCTCCTTTGTATTATTTCATGCAATATTATCGGGTTTGGGAAAGTTACTTTATAAAAGAATCCAGTTACAGTTACAGTTTTTTCGCTAAAAATGTAACTAGTCACAGTTACAAGTTACCAATTCTGAAAAGTAACGCGTTACAGTTGCAGTTACTCAAAAAGTAACGAATCGTTAAAAATACCAAATCTGCGTTTGAATTATAAAATGTCGATAAAAGCGTTTATGTGCAAATGCAAGACCTAATGCGATCTGTAGAGGTTTAAAAAATATATAAAGTAACTATTGATGTATCTATTAAATTAGTTACTAGTTATCAAAAAAATGTAACTGAGTTAAGTTACAGTTACAGATGGAGAGAAAGTAACGAAGTTAAATTAGAGTTACCAAGAAAAAGTAACTGTAACTTCGTTACAAGTAACGAGTTACTTCCCAACCCTGAATATTATACTAGTTTAGATCGCGCTAGCAACATATACAGTGTAGCGAAATAATAACGACAAACTCTACGGTTGGTTTCAAAAGTAAGAACTCATTTGTAATGCTTCAGTTTAGGGGATCGTAAAGAACTTTTTGAGAATAAGACCGATGTGATGCTTCTGAGATACAGCAAATTAAAAAGTGATGTTTGGGCATCTATTTAACAGGCAGCTATACAGCTGTTAATGATTTATCGTTTGCGAAATGACGACCGATAAAAATAACGCGTATAAAGCAAATAATATATAGCATTCCCTTTACAATGCATTTTTTATAAAAACATTTCAACACAATGTGTTTGAGAAATCAATAATAGTTATTAAAGTGGAAGGTTGGCCGTAAAGTGTTCCTTCAATATTTCCATTAAAAATATTTCTACAGTTTAATTCCACAGTTTTAATAATATAAAATCTAGATTATTTTATATCATTTTATATCGCGCGCGTGTAAGTATACGACTTTGTGAAAAAATATGAACGCTCCCTTTTTGAGAAGCGCCGAGTGGTATCCGGAACAGCAGAGAGGAAGTCCGCGGTAAGGTAAGAAGGATAAAGAAGTTCAAGTTAAATAAACAGCGATGAGGGCCTTTTGTGTAAACCCGATACTAAAATAATATATCCCGCACGACGACAAATCGACCGGCACTAAACGTATCGCTTAACGTTTCTACAACAACATACACGGACCTCGGAAATTTATAAACGAGAGAGGTGATGGCCCTATCTCGCCGTTTTCCGACTACCCTTAAAAATTTCCGTCGTACTATTTTCGGCCGCCATGTGTCCGAGGTATACAGACACCGAAGGCCGCTACTGGCAAAGACAAAAGCAATCGAAGATGACCAGCTCAGAATAAATGTCATTAAAAGTTTTAATTAAAAAGCAACTCGGAGGACTTTCAAAACGTCTAGTATCAATAAAAGTAGTGAAAGCTACACGGAGAGAACTTTTTCTTAAAATTTATGCTGAAAAATCATGTAATCGTGGGACAATATAGCGTGTCGAAGAAATTTATGAGTTTTTTGTAATTTTACTACACATTCTACTAGTAATTATACTTCGTATACATTTTACTAGTAGAATGTTATATTTTAAAAAAAACTCTCCTACAGTTCTTCAAAATGCCATGTTGTCCCACGATTATGATTTTCATGGTAAATTTTAAGAGAAATTTTTTCTCCGTGTACTTAGTCAACGTAGTTAAACAATCAAGTAATCAGAATTCTTCAATGTTGCCAGCGGTAATTAACGTCTGTAATAAGAAATTTATTAAAGATGCCAGGTATGGCCAAGAAAACGCTGACGTTGGCAGTTAAAAAAATAAAACGAAATTTGGTTTTGCTAGTGTGGATGAATCGCTCGCATTTTTGCACGGATTTATATGGCTTTTGCGAATAAATGTCTCTCGTCATTCAATATGTATAAACCTATAAAACGTGATGAGAGGTTTTAAACCAAGACATTACATTCCGATATATTTTTCGCGTAAAAGATGAAATATGCTTTTGCAAAAATACGAGCAAATATTGTTTGCATAATTCTACGCGAAAAAAGACAAACGAGAATCCGTATTATTACAACCGAAAGTCGCTTTTGCCGTTCAATATTTCAAACTGTACGTTAATTAAAACGTTTTTAACGGTTATTGTACTCTAAAGTTAAATAAACATGTTGGATTTTTTTCTGTCGCTCGACGTACAGATGCAAAGACGGAACATCTGTCAATGAAGAGGTAATTTGTGATACAGAACATCGCGAAAATCATATGGTGCGCATCTTCTGACGATTTCATTAAAATCACGCCGGAATAAATATTTCGAAAGAAGAGAAACGACGAGAGGCGGTTCGAGGATCGATTTCGAGCGTCGGGGTTTCGACCCAAAGAGCACATGTGGTCAATTTCGACCTCAAAAAGGATTCACTTTTAAAATTCTCTGCGAATTGGGGCAATCCGTCCAAAGTAAACTCAAAAGAATTCGCTTCCGGTAGTTTGAAAAGGGAATTCCATACTTTTTACGGAAATATTAATTATTCCTTTCTCAGCACAGATCGGGTCTTCGGAACAGAAACGAGATGGAAGGGGGATTCGTTTCGTAATTCGAAAATGCAAAGAGAATTTCCCTCGGAGTCCCCCGCGCTGTTTGCACACAGAAAAATATTATTGTACAGTCAAGAAAAGTAATTACTCAGTTTATTTTATTCCGTTTAAGTAATAGTTTGCTTCAACAAAGAATATTTTCTTCATAATAGTTTTAAGATATACTTGTTACTAGTCTTAGAAAAGCTTGCCATCTTATACTCAAAGAAAGAATTTATTCTTCTTTGAAGAAAATTATAAAACTTATTGAAGAATTCCGTATGCTTATTTTAATAAAATCAGAAGAAACAAAATTGTTTTGCTTCAAATAATTCTATGTATTCTTGTTTCAAGTACTCAGTGTTGTGCATAGATGATTTTAAAATTAGCTGGATAAAGATAAGATAAAAATATATAAATTTATCTTAGATAAGATAAAGATGATTTCGTTTTTAATATATCTAGATAAAAGATAAAATCATATGATGATTCATCTAGATAATTTGCAGATAATATTTTTAAGACTTCATGTAAACAGTAGAAAAAGTTATAAAAAAATGATAGAAAAATTTAAATTATAAAGGGGATACAGAATATATTCAGGTTAAGTTATATGACACACACATATAAATGCATGGTCTACAACGCCATCCATATTTAAATAGTGTAACTGTTAAGTATTTTTATGTGGCTAACCTTACGTGGCCCTAAACCAAATTATCTGTACGTTATCTTAGATAACTTAGGCTGCGGTCAACCTGCCGCTGCAAACACTTCGAAGCGTTTCTCCTCTCTTTCTGTTTTTACTGAAAGAAAAGAGAAGACGAATGCTTCGTTACATTCGAAGCTTGACCGCAGCCTTAGTAAAAATAACACTTTCTTTCATCTAAGATACAGATAATACTTATTTTTATTATCTATATAAAGATAAGATAACGCTAAAATTTTATCTAGATAATCATCTATATAATTTTATTTAGATAACAGCAAACACTGCAAGTACTAGACTTACTAAGAACCAGAATATGTTTTGAGTAAATGTAACACTTGCGACGACATTATGATAGATTTGCGGATATATAAACTTATCAAATACTTGGGACAAATAATATTTACTTGCAGGTAGCATATATTTTTCAGTGTGTGGGGAGGGGATTTCCGGGAAGCGAGGTGCTTTTTCGCGCCTCTTGTCGATCGCAACTGCGCACGTGTGACGTGACGCCGATCTCACCGCGAGGCGTCGCGCGGCAGTTTTCACGAGGCACGCAGGCGGACGTATCGGGTGCGCGGCGCACCGTGGAACGGGGGCTAGCACCAAGTGCGACGAAGCGGAGCGGAGCGGAGCCAAGCTGAGCGGAGCGGAGTGGGAGTCCAGTGTCAGAGTGTCCGGCCCTGACGCGAGACGCGTCGATCGATCCACGCCGTGGCGTTTCGTACGTGGTATACGCCGCGCGATTTCACGATGTAGCGCTCAGCGGCGTGATCCCCGGGTTAGGCCAGAAAGGTACACGCAGCTCGCGATAATCTACGTCTAACCGAGCGTGGTCTCGACGACCGTCCTTCCTCACCCCGAGAAAGAGAAAGAGAGAGAGAGTTTCTCGCTTCCGCATCTCGTCGGCCATCCCGTGCTCCCGAATCCCCGACCCGACGTCGGTCGCGCGCGTGCAGAGCGGAAGACACGCTCCGCTCCGGGAAACGGAGTGCGTGGAGCCCTCGCGGGGCCAGGTGTCGAAGCGCGAATCAGTGGCGCGGCGTCAAGATGGCGCGTGCTACGGGCACAGCTGTTGTTTACCCACAAACCCGTGTGGAGCGGGCCACTGGCTGCTGCTGCTGCTGCTGCTGCTGCCGCGGCTGCTGCTGCTGAGAGAGGAGCACGTAGCTCCCCGTCGTCGGGACTGCTTGCCGGAGACGATGGGAGATACCCGACGTGCGAGCGGGTAACGGAGTAACGGAGCGACGCGCGCGAGAGCGACGTGAGGGTGACGTGACGGCGACGTGACGAGAACGTGACAGCGACGACGTCGACGGCAACGACGACGGCGGCGGCGGTGGCGGCGGCGGCGACGAAGACGACGAGGACGGCGACGGCGACGACGACGGTGGAGGAGGCGACGGCGTTGGTGGCAGTGCTGGTGGCGGCAGCGACGACGACGACGGCGGTGGTGCCTGTAGTGGTGGTGGTGGTCGTGGTGGTGGTGGTGGTGGTGGTCGTGCTGTCGCTGTTGGAGGCGGCGGTGGTGGTGGTGGTGCGTCGAGAGAAAAACGGGACGCGCGAAAGCGGACTCGATGGAAGAGGGTAGCGGAGTCCGCGGCGGCAGAGTCAGCTCGAGAAACTAACCTGGTTGCGTCGGCCACGAGGGCGGCGACGGGGACGAGGGCGACGGCGAGGTGGCGCGATCTCGGCAGGGTGCCTCGATACCGAGGGAGAGCAACGGCGAAGCTGGTCCAAGTCTTCGGCGATAAGTGCGTTGTCCTCCTGGTAGCACACGGCTCTCCCCCTTCCCCTCCTTCTCCTCTCTCTCTCTCTCTCCTTCTCCTCCCGCGCGGCCCGTCCTTTCGTCCTGAGGCCACGCTGCGTTACGTAAAGACTTGGCCGCAAGGTCAACGTCGTCGCGCCGAACTCCGGCCTTTGTCTCTTCCCGAGCTGCTCCGAGAGCCGCGTTTGTCCGTCCACATGTGTCACAGCGTGACGCGTCGCGCACTCCCGCTCGCCGCGTTCCCCGCGGATTTGAGGTTAGGCTCGCTGGCTGGCGCCGAGTCTTTCGGCCCCGATTCCGAAGGTCGCCCCGCCGCGCCGCCGAAATTACGATGAATAACGCCGTATCTCGGACAGGAGTTAGTCGTTTACTGCGGATTTTCTTTTGTTTCCCCCTTTGTTATTTTGCACGACCCGATTGACGAGGTGCCGTGAACCGTATCTTTGTACTCCTTTATCTGTATTCTTGTGAAATAGAGTCTCCCCGCATCGTTGCATCTCTCGGCAGCTTACCGTCCGATCCTCTAGTGACTTGTCATTCGTTGTCCTTGAAATCATTCTAGTGTCTGTATCATAAGATGCGCGGTGATGATGAAATGTTCATTTAGCGTAACTCACTTCTGCATACTCTTCTCTCGACGATTTCAGTAGACGCGTTAATAATTTTCATCGTTTTGACGTTTATTTCGTATCTACTAGTATCCAGTATTAACACTAGAAGTACCGAGCGATCATTTCTGACCATTTTTATCTATTGCATTAATTTCTTGTGAAGATTTGTGACTCTTCGTCGATCAATTGGTCAAAGGTTTATATACCAAATCATAAAATTTCAGAATTCTCTCTTTTATACAAGAAACAGGGTATTAATGGGCACTTCTAGTGTTACTTTGATTGATTGAGCGAACACGTTATCAGAGAATGTGGACAAGAAGCTAAAATGTGTACTCCGCAGGTATCACCATGAACGCCAGGACGCAGCTGTTCGAGTTGAGTATGGAGGGACGTCAGGTGGACGAGGCAGTGGCGAGTATCTTCCACAGCGTGCTATTCCATCGGAGCCTCGGCAAGTTCAAGTACAAACAGGAGGGCAGCTACTCGGTGGGCACTGTGGGATACCAGGACGTGGACTGCGACTTCATTGACTTCACTTACGTCTGCTGCTCGTCGGTGCACCTCGACCAGACGCTGAAGCGCGAGATATCGGGCTTCTCGGAGGCGCTGCGCTCCACCGACAGCCCGGGCTCCGGCCAGATATCCCTAGAATTCTTCCAGAGGAAAAAGAGCCGCTGGCCGTTTCAACCGGAGTGTATACCGTGGGAAGTGTGGACCGTGCGTCTCGAACTTATCAAATTAGCCACCGAGCACGAACGGCAGATATGTCGGGAGAAGGTGGGTGATCTACTGACCGAGAAGATCCTGTATATCACCGAGGTAATGAATCGGCACGATTACATCCCGAAAGTGCCGAGCCAGGCCGAGCTGGATCTGATCTTCGACACCTCGTATCCGGACATACAACCGTATCTCTTCAAACTGTCCTTCACGACCTCCAGCCCGTCGACCACCACGATGGGCAACACCATGAAGAAACTGATCAGAGAGACGCTATCCATTTAGTCGTTATAATGTATAGTGTAAACTTTTCACGTTAGCGCATCCGCATAGCTTGCTAGAGCTCATCGAAACGCAAATCTCACGCTCCTCCGTTTTCTTTTTCATCCCCACGATGCACACAAGGTTTTGCATTGCACCGAGCGACTTTCAGATTTTCGTATCCACAGTGACTCTAACCTGCCACCGTATGCGTTAATTATGAGTTCCGAAGAAAAGCTACTAAATTTTTGCGTTTTAAACTAAGCAGAATGGTCCCGAGTCTTCGACCACTCGTTCCCGGCGGAGACTACCGAGAGTACTCGGCGGGTACTTTGCTTACCGTGGTAGACGCTCCGCCGGATTTTGTAAACTCCGTAACAGTAGTGTCTCTTATATTACGAAAATATTACTTGTTATACATCGCAGGGACTTCCGCTGCTCTATGTCTCTAACGTCTCTATATAGTACAAATGAACACGACACTGTGACACTTGCTTCTTTTGTACTTTACTATAAACGTCCGTCGCATAATTTTAGCAGGATCACGTTAGTCACGTTTTTATACGATATTTTAACCTCTAACTCTCACCACTTAAATCGCCACGGGCTGTGGCGGAACGACATTATGTTCCTCTATCGCTTCTCATCCTCTTCGAATGCTGTGTATATCGTAGTAATAGGCTCGAGGGTAATTTCCTTTAGTAGATGAAGAATCTTCGCGCGTCATACGGGCGAGATAATTTGATTTAGAGTAAGAATACGGACATTTTTCGAGTCTCTCGTTGAAGAGCAGGATGTCTTCAGATCCTTTAATGTCTAGTAGTCTTTTGAGAATACAGAGTCTTTAAGGTACTCGTAACTTTCTCCTTGATAAACTCCTCCGACTACACGGCTGTATTCGGCGCTACTGTACACTCTGTTTTTCAGTCACTAACATTGAAAGTACATATAGTTATCCCAAACTCTGACGATCACGGAGCGCTTGGATTTTTACGCATACGCACATACATATATATTTATACATACGTATATTATATGTGTGTATGTGTGTTATGTATGTGTGTATGAGTGTGTGCACGCGCGTTTGCATACAAAGCTGCTATTATTTTCATCGTAAATGTAACGCTGAATATCCGATCGAGTCCAATACTGGATTTAGTAATACGGACATTGCGTAGCACGACCGGGGTGGTATTCAGTGTTAGATGCGCGGAAGAGCAGAGTGTTTATTATAATTACGGTGTATGCATGGAAGCGATTGTTATTTATTTTCACGAGTGATGATACGTAACGCCGTTAAAAGCGTCACGTGTATGCAGTTTAGTAAATACAATTTTATTTACACATCGTTCTTCTTTTCCCCGTTGATCTTAAGTTATAACAATCAAATTGTATAAAATAAGTTGATAATCATTAAGCCGACGCGACGCCCGCGTTATCGAAGCGCACCGGGCGATACGAAAGGGCCGCACGAAAACTCGCTGTCACGATTACATTTTCCCAGACGTTTCGTGCCTTCGTATCGAATTTTTGATAGGGAAATTATAAATGTGTGCTAGGAGACTAACATACCAGACGATAGTGTCACTATTATTATTTATTGAGCTCGAAGCATCTCTCTTTCATGTAAAAGTGGAATAGTCTCTCTGTCTCTCCCTCGCTCGCGCAGAGGACAAATCTGTGATCCTTCTCGGATTCGAGTAGGTTTTGTTCTATCCCCTCATATAAGCGACGACTGGGTGTGTGTGGGTGTGTATGGATGCGTGCGCGCGCGTGTGTGTGTGTGTGTGTGCCGTTAACGTCGTGTCGTTTTAGGATTTTCAAGCTGACAGAAGGCGTAACGGCGGATGTTCGGAACGACTCGGCCGACGGCGACCCGTGCGCGCGATTATACCTATTATATTATACAGTGTGTAAATAGCGTCTGAGGAATATATTGCCGTAAATCAAATCACGTCGTGCCGCGAGGGTCTCCGCGCGTTCCGAGATCCGCTCCCTTGGCCTTACCTACGACCAATCAACAAAGATATCACGACGCATTAGTAGTGCACATACCTTAACGAATTAACCCTAGACGAGAAGCGTAACGTTAATTTAAACGATTAATCATATATCGTCCCTATCGCTTTTCCTTTTTGTCGCCGATGTTCTCCAGGTAGTTTAATATGCAATTGCGACTTATTATTAGCTGAATGTTTCCGCGTACTCGGGTGTACGTCGATTGGGTGTATCCTACTGGAGTGAGTCTTTTTTTTTTCTCATGTGTCGAAAGGAAGGAAAGGAAATCACGGTGGTCGTCGGACAGTCCGCCGCTCTCTCTCTGCGATTCCGTGTAGAAAATCGACCGCAGTCTCTTTCCCTCGCGCTATCTGGCTTTTACTTTTTACAATTATATGACGTGAACGATATATTGTAAATGGTAAAAAGGAGTCGCGGTGCGAAGCCGCGATACGATATTATGAAAAAGAGAGGCGCGCATACGCGCGCATATATAAATATATAAATATGATATATATAGAAAGAACAAAGAGAGGGAGAGAAAGAAGGAGCGAAAGAGCGAGCGATTGGCCACGTGTGCATGTGTAACTAGAGTTCTGCGAGTTTGTCCAATTGCCACATGCTGTTATAAATAAATAAAATTATAAATATATATAAATTATATAAATATATATATATAAATAGCAAAATAGATAAAACCGAGACCTGTATATTGTAAGCTGCGAGACAAATGTGACAAAATGTGTAGTATGTATAGCGAGGAAGATGAAATATCTGCAAGTTTTAATTTATCATGATGAGTACGCTGACGATAAATGATTAATTATTAATAAATTACTGTATTTTATAATTATGCTTTTTTTTTAAATGGAAACACGCCTCCCGTTTCTTATTCCAATTTAATCTCACATTTCTTACATCACGAGGATAGAAGTGTAAATTTCTAACATAATTTTATATAAATTCCGAAAGTATCGAAAATCTATGCGTTATGTTTTTAGAAAACATTTTCCGTCACGTTATCGAGCAATTAAATAACTTACGTTATATCACATTACATATTTCATCACAAAGTTTTGTTACGACGAAACAAGAATATACATATTTATTATGTATTGCCATGTTTCCTTATTATTATATTTGCATTTTTAAGTATCTTAATTGCGCTCGAGCAAATATCTCTGTTTATTGACATTGCTTCCAGTATTTATTTACCCAATCCTGAAAATATCGCGCTGTTATCTTCCTCAGAAGAAGCAAAAGAGCAAACAAAAATATGTATATATGTATGTATGTATACAACGACCGATTGCGTTAAAAATGCATTTTATCTTGGTTCAAGAGGATCCTAAAGTCATCGTTTTTACCGACACATTCGAATATAGTTTTTACGCTTGTAAATCTTTTTATTGGCTTTTATGCACAATATAATACTAAGATAAGTTACGGACCGCATAGCAAAACATTTTCATACTTAAAACACTCAGTTCAGAAGTCTAATAAAAAGGAAATTGGTATTTGAAATTTTCGATTTTTCATTCGTGAGCAATTTGAAATTGGTTTCATAAGATTGAAAAAATTTTCCACACGATTAAAGTACGCATAAAAACAAATCCGGGGGTTTACGACTTTATAAAAAGAACGAAGAGCAATAAATATCACTTTATAAGTTATAATTGTGTTAGATTAAGTTAGGTGACAGCTTCGTATGGTGACATTTCTCTTCGTTTTTTACATAAAGCCGTGAACCCTCGGCTTTGTTTTTATACGTACTTTAATCGTGTTCTCGCGAATAAAAAAGAAAAAATTTCAAATACCAGTATCTTTTTTATTGGACTTCTGCACGATTGCGAGTGTTTTAAGTATAAAAATGTTCCGCTATGCGGTCAGCAACTTATCGTGGTATTACTTCGTGCATAAAAGCCATTAAAAAGATTTACAAGTGTAAAAACTATATTCGAAAGTGTCAGTAAAAAAGATAACTTTAGGCTCGGCCGATTCATGCGATTCCGCCATTCCGTCGCGTGCTGCGCTCTAACGGGCGGTCCGCGAGTTCGCGGCCGCTCGCTCGGCAATGCAGCGCAACGTAAACACCGCGGGATTCTCGGGGATCAATCCCAGATCCCCGCGGCGCATACGAAATAACAAGCGTACGACTTCTCGTCGACTTCTTATTCCCGGCATTCCGCACGGCGTGCCACGTGTGCGCGAAATCCCACATATTTCGCCCCTCGAACGAACTGAAATAGTTGGCATATCTCGCGGCGGGAATCCGCGCATCACTCGCGGACGAGCGCATACGAGTCGAAGAATTTTTCCGCAATAAGATGCAAACGGGGAATCACCCCTGCGAATTCGCTGCTCCTTGTCCTCTTCCCCCTCTCCCCCCCTCCGTCCGCGAAACTGAATTATGCCTGCGGACCGCCGCGCGAAGGATATATTCATTTCGACTTTATTAGATTCTGGAGAAGCACTCCCGGACTCGCGGGAATCTCAAGTATTTTTGGCCGCCACCTTGACCGCCATAGCTCTCGACGCCACGTGGCACGAAGTGGATCGCGATAAATCGCGAGACACAGCGATATTCCGCGCGGCGCGAGCGAGGTATTTTATTTCTGGCTCACCTGGCCGCGCGGCTCGCTGAGGCTGGCGTGCAAACGGCGACGGGAGAGCGGAAAGTATCCGGGAAGGAAAGATGCATTCGTAGCTTTCGCGTTATCCCGTAGAACGCTTCCCTGTTTAAAATATTAGAATAAAATCAGATTACACTAGTTTGCATGCAATTTCGATGCAAATAAATAAGAGTCTTATTATTAATTTACATTCAAATTGCGTGTAATCTGATGTAATCTGGATCATATTCTATCTATTTTAAACAGGGTTGAAATTAGTATCTGCTAACAGACTTTTGCCGAGTCCTTTGCTTCCGTCTTGTTTTTTTTGGTCAAATCTAACTTTAATTTGTTAAAGACGTTCACCGAGTAGAATCGTTTATAAATAAATACTTAGCAAAATACTTTGCTAGCTCGAGTAAAATTACCAGCGACTCGAGGGCTCTCTTTACGAGCTAAAAGAAATCTCGGAAGAAAAGCTATTTAAGAGGATGCTGGATACCGACGTGCAGTGTGGCTCAGCTATTTTCGAATTGGTTTTACAGAATTAACAATCCTTCCATGAAGTATGTGCAGAAATACATTGCAGGCTGGTCAATTTAAGACTAAAAACGAATAAAAATTATAAAATATTTCTTGGTGTTGCACATAAAGCTGTCAATTCAAAACGTTCGCTTGTATACAAATCACAGAGTTGGGTAAGTTACTTTATAAAAGAATCTAGTTACAGTTTTTTTTACAAAAATGTAACTAATTATAAGTTACAAATTCTGAAAAGTAACACGTTACAGTTACTCAAAAAGTAACGAATCGTTACTTTGCAGTTACTTTCTCGCAATAAAAATAGAAATATCAAATCTGCATTTGAATTGTGAAGTGTCGATGAAGCGGTTTATGCGCAAAAGCAAGGCCTAGTGCGATCTGTAGAGGTTTAAAATGTATATAAAGTAACTATTAATGTAGGTAACCGAGTTTAAGTTACAGCTACAGATGGAGATAAAGTAACGAAGTTAAGCTAGAGTTACCAAAAAAACAAGTAACTGTAACTTTGTTACAAGTAACGCGTTACTTCCCAACCCTGACAAATCATATATTCCTACCTATTTGTACAAATCGAAAGCAGTCTGCAATTAGATCAAAGAACAGCGCCGAATCAGTAAAACTAAGATTAAAAGTCTACTGAAAAAAATTACCGAAGAACTTTATTTTATGTAAAAACGCGTATCTTTACACCCACCCCAAGTGTACAAGTAACAGAATGACAAACTATAGGTGTCAGATCTTGCAACAGATAGCGCTACAATGTGTTAGACCAGGATAGATATCTCATGAATATCCCTTTTGTGTTGTACACGTACATGTTTCCAACACATCTTTTATATGTCCTGGGCTGAATGACAATATAAGACGTTAAATTGTCGACAATTTCGAAGTTCAGCTGTTACTTTAGGATCCCGGCTGACATTTTTCCATTTTTTTTAAACAGAAAATTTATGCATATATGTAATCTGCGTGTTCCGCAGTTTTCAAGCTTGCTCCTGGTCACTGTAGTGGCCACTCCGGTCCTTTAAAGATTAAAAGGAGGATTATCCAACGCCCGCGGAAGGCGCGAGGTGGAATAGAGAAATATCGCGTGAGAGGTGCACGGCCGCTCTTGGATTCGCGTCGATCGCTCGACGCTTAAAGTTAAGCATCGACACACGTCGTAAATATATATCTCGCGCGTGTACAGGTGGGCGCATCGCGATCCTACGCGATCGTACGCGTGCGCGTGCGAGGCCGCCCTCGGACTCCCTCGAAGCCGATTTTCTCGCGTCTCAGTCGCCGGCAGGACAGGGAGGCAACGCGCGTACGCAGCCGGCGCCGCGACGCCCCGCGCGCTGATCGTCGTGACTGGTACCTCCGGGGACAAGAGGCCCGCAACGAGTCGTCGCGCGACCGAAGGACCGCGCGGGAGATCGAGATCGCGCTCGAGATACATGTGCCCTTTAAACACGTGCACGATGTGCGGCGCGTGTTCTCGCGAGGAAAGAAGATAAGAGATAGATAGCTCGATAAGTCGCAGGCCTCTCGCGAGTGGAGGTGCGTTCCTCGGATCCAGTCTCGATTGTCAACGAAAAACGGACGTGTCGTCGCGGAGGAAACCGCAGGAAGGAGGAAACTGCAGGAAACCGAAGCCTCGATCTCGCGAGGAGGCGACGGACGTTTCGTGTTTGCTCGTGGATCGCGGATGAAACCGAGGAGGCACGGCCGTGGTAGACGAAATCCGCTCGTGCGCGTTCGCGAGTGTATTTGTGAGATCGGTTTTTATATTTTTCCCGCGCGCGTGTCCTCGTTTCCTCACCTCGCGGACGTGTTCCGGTGGAGACGCGCGAGCCCCAGTAGTTACGCCGGCCTAAATCTCGCGCGTCGAGTCCCGTTCGCGCGCGCAACAAATCCGTGCGGCGCCCGTAGACCCTGAGAACTTTGCGCTCCGCATCGATCAGCGAAACTTCGACCGACATCGCCGTCCGCGTTGAGCGCGACGGAAGAAATCGCGGACCTCCGTCCGCTCTCAACCCCGCCGACTCTTCAACAGGTGGCCGAAATCGATCTCGCACGTGTACAAGTGTACGTGATCACTTTTCACAGCGCACCGCTGCGCTCTCTTCCTCCCGCTTTCTTTTTTCGACTTTTTCTTTATTGGCCTAATCCTCTCTGAACCTCCAGGATTGACGCGAGAGGTACACGGAGAGAATTTTCTCTTAAAACTTATCGTGTAATCGTGGGACGGTATTTCGAGGAATTTTATGAGTTTTTTTTAAATTTTACCATACATTTTACTAGTAATTATTCGTCTTGGATCAGTTAAGTGCTTGAAAAGTAAGAGTTTACATTATCATACGTGGAAAAGTTGCCGTGTAATTGTTGCAGAAAAGTTGCAGTGACGAAAAATTCTAAAGTTAACAGGGCTGCTTTCGCGAGAAGATCAAAATGATCCGGATTAAAATGACCCTGTGCTATGATTGGTCAAATCTGAAATTTCGTAGCATCACATTGAAATTTTATTCAATAAAATTCCAGATTTGACCAATCATAGCACAGGGTTATTTTAATCCGGATCATTTTGATCTTCTCGCGAAAGCAGCTCAGATTAACAAGAAACCGAATTGTTAAAGAAATTGAAGATACCTTTTATAGAAATGCAAAATTATGGTGTACCAGTTAAGGTGTACGTTTAATTCTGTCGTTTAAAAAGTTATCCTTTGCGCTTATTTATCACAACATTCGTACGTTGCTCAATTCTTTTATTACAGTATCATTGTCATAATGAAATTAACTGGGTGTTATTGAAGTTACTAACTCACGCTTTATTAACCGTTCGATCATTCGTGTGTGAAATAGACATTTTAGCAAATGTTCTCCATTGTCTGTAAACTCCCCCCCCCCCCTCGTCATCTGTTTCTCGATACTCTCCCGGCTAGTACACAACGAATTCATTAATATCTACCATAGCCGTTAAAATCGGTCGGCCCATCAACGCGTTGTGCAGCACGTAACGCGCTTTCATTAATCTCCGATTAATACGCATCGCGCATCCAACGAGTGGAAAACCGTTTCCGCCCGGTGTAATTTACGATCCTCCAGCCGCGCGTAAATAAATCCGCGCGCGCGCGCTAGAGCGGTCGTAAAAAAAAAAGAAAAAGAAAAAACAACGTCAGTAAAATCGCCCCTCGTATCGCCCCGCTGACGAAATTATTGCTCAGCATCCAGGAGGAAAGGAGGGAAAGAGGAAAAGAGATCGTCGAGGACTCTATCGTGTCCCCTATTTCCGATTCTTAATGACGAAACGGTCTTGGCCTCCGCTTTTTAAATAAGTTCCTCCGCCTTTCGCTCTCCCTCCCCTCCTCTCACTTTCGAGACGACGTGGCCGATAATGTCGACCGCCCGAAACTTTCCGAAACGCTTGCTTGACGGCGACGACGACACTGTCCAAAGTTTGCTGACGGTCTCGCCCACGCCGAGGTCATAATCGGCGCTCCTAATTGCTCTCCCATGTCTTGTTTCAGCGAGAGGAACGACCATCGTTTCCCGGGGTCTGAAAGTTCCGTCGCGAAACATGTTAATTGCCTGACTGTCATCGCCATGCGCCCCCCCGAGTACACGAACCGACGGAATCGACGTTTCTATTAATATTAACATAATATTTGTAACGCAACTCTAAATAACCGAACCAGTTGGTGGTGCGGGCGACCCTGGACGATCGACCGTTTCTACGTGGCGAATCGTCGAGAATAAGAGTGAAATGTGCAACGACTCGTCCCCCCGGCGAGCTTTTTTTAAGCAGTATTTCCCGCTCGCCTATCCGCGCGATACCTTTTTCCTTAATTAAACATTTGCTCACTGCCAACTCGTGAATTTACGAATTTTACGGGGAAATTGGTGTTGCCTCTGGACTCGTCATTTATTTACGGCACTCGTCGACTTCCCTTTCAACGCGACTTCTGCCTGGAAGATGGTCTTATTACGAGAATGAAAGACGTTGATTAGAAAAAAATGTGACACGAACTTGAAGATACGGCGACTATCGCGACGTAAAGGAGGTGACCGATGCGAGATCGATAAAAGCGCTCCTCATTATTCTGTCCTTAGACCGTCGGAGAATCAAACTTAAATTAAGTCGCGCTTAAGGGATTAACCCGGCGGAAGTCGAGCAAGAGTTGCAACGCTCGCATACGCGCCGAGCGTAATCGATGCCCCTCAAACAGTTGGCGAGGATACGGCGGCGCGAAACTCGAGCTAATCTGCTTATCTGGAGCTATAACTCGCTTATCTATCACAACCTGCGACGCCTGAGCGCCCGCCGCGCTGGATAGCAGCAGCGCGCCGCGCTGACATTAATGGGCGAGGAGCTTCGTGAGAAATTAATTCACGGCTCGTGGATCGACAACGCCGGCGGCGGTGTACTCCGCTCCTCGGGCTCTTCTTCCGGATAACTCCCGACTCGCCGAGCCGCTTTATCCGCCTCGACCTTCCGCCTCGCAGTCGTTGTGGGAGATGACGAGCCGTCAGCGAGTCCATCCGCGTCAGCGTACGGCTGACGCATGATCGATTCGACGAGGTAGCGACGAAGGGGGAGAGAAAGAGAAGGAGGAGGTGCAAGAGGAGGAAGAGTAGAAAGCGAAAGAGCAAGAAGAGAGAAAGAGCAAGAGGAAGTGGAGGCGCGTAGCGCGAGTAACCGAGCCGCCGCGCTCTTCAAGATGCGCCATGGATAACGACGCAACGCAAATAACGTCGGCGTCGTCGGTGGTGCTGGTCGCCATGCAGAACCAGACGGCGCGTAACTCCAGCTACCTGTCGGAGGACATGACGTCGAATCTGATGGTCCAGATAATGTTCTGCGTGTTCTACATCGTTATCTTCGTGCTCGGGATATTCGGCAACGTGCTGGTGGTCTTCGTCGTCGGGCGGAACCGGCAGATGCACACCGTCACCAATCTCTTCATCGCGAATCTCGCGCTCAGCGACGTGCTGCTGTGCGTGCTGGCCGTGCCCTTCACCCCACTGTACACCTTCATGAGCGGCTGGGTCTTCGGTAAGACCCTCTGCCATCTGGTGCCCTACGCCCAGGGAGTCAGCGTGTACATCAGCACGCTCACGCTTACGAGCATAGCCGTCGACCGGTTCCTGGTCATCATCTATCCGTTCCATCCGCGCATGAAGATCAAGATGTGCCTGGTGATCATCGTGAGTATATGGATGATCGCGTTACTGGTTACCTTGCCGTATGGACTTTACATGCAGCTGGAGGAAACGTACCTCTTGTTCTGCGAGGAGAACTGGCCCAGCGAGCCGTTCCGCAAGGTCTTCAGTTCGCTCACCTCGATACTGCAGTTCGTCGTGCCGTTTTTCGTGATCGCCTTCTGCTACGTGTGCGTGTCGATCAAGCTCAACGATCGGGCGCGCGCCAAACCCGGCAGCAAGACCAGCAAGCGCGAAGAAGCGGATCGCGAGAGGAAGCGCCGGACCAACCGGATGCTGATCGCAATGGTCGCCATATTCGGGGTGTCCTGGCTGCCGCTCAACATCGTCAACGTCGTCGACGACTTTTACTCGTACGCCAACGACTGGTCCTACTACAGGTTCTGCTTCTTCATGTCGCACTGCATCGCCATGAGCAGCACCTGCTACAATCCGTTCCTTTACGCCTGGCTCAACGACAACTTCCGCAAGGAGTTCAAGCAGGTGTGTACGTATTGAGCCTCTCTGCCTTTCCTTGCACGTCGCGTCGCGGGAGTCCAGGCCAAACCGGGCCTTTCGAAACTACCGGATGATCTGTTCGTTTCGTTGTTCCCCGTTTCATCAGCGAGCAGATCATTCTTATGCGGTCGCGGAGAGAAGATGTACAGTATTGTATAGAAAATTCACTTTCGCGAAGCCGCTCAGACGCAGAAATGGCGCGTTCAAAATTGATTTCCAAGTTCTCGAAGCAGGGGAAGTTCTCGAACGCATCCGCAAATTATTCTCGGAGCTTATTAAATTTCCACTCGAGCAGGAAAGCCAGGCGATACTTTTGTGATAAAAGTAATATTGCAATTATTGCAAAAGCATTGCTCTCGGAGCTCTTTAAATATCTAGACAAAAAGCTACGGCGGCGCCTTCGCGAAAGGAAATAATGTTAGAGATTATTGCCCGCAGCGTTCGCTCTAGCAGCACACTTTACGTGGCAGGTACAGCTTTTTCGGTACGGGTAATATTACATCGCGATGTACGCCCAATGCATTTAGAGCTAGCTGCAGACAATTGCTAAGGCGGATCGTGCAAGACTGCACTTTAAGTAATTGGGACAGAACTGTTTACACCGAAACTATCGAAGGAACGGGAATCCGATGTGTTATGTTCTCAATTGCGATGCGCTCGAGGAGAAAGCAGCGGCTTGAATTCTATCGCGCCGAAATTAATTTGCAGCGGAGCTATTTCTTCCCTCCGCGTCCGCATATTCGCGAAATGATGAAACGTGTTTAAGGACATCAACGTGCGCCAGTATGATACCCACGCATAAATGCGATACGGAGCGTATCAACGTGTTTCGCCTCTCTTTGCCTATTGAATGCAACTTGCATTCTGAATAGTGGTATTCAATCGATTCAAAGATGCCGGCGGGTTCGATTCACGGGCGCATCTGCCAGGGTAAAAATGCCGTAAGGATGGCACGCGGCGATAGGACTTTTCTTTCGCTACTTGCGAATTCATAGAACAAACAAAATTTACGCGCGACAAGAATGTTTTATATTTGTACTTTGTGGTATTTTCTCGTTTCCTGATGTTCTATTGGAAAATGTGTGTCAGATTTTACAGCGCTTCCCTATTATTTTTCTTTCCCATATTTTCATCGTATTGCTCTTCCGTCTTTTCATTTATTTTCCTCTTTATATGTTTATCTTGTCACAGACATAGAAGCGCTAGTAAAATAATAATATCGCTTGATACGATATCTCTTGTTTTCTATTGTAACATTACATCTTTTAGATAAATTCTCGATAATTCGCAGGAATTAATACTGAAGAATTGGATTTTGCGACGTAATTCCACTTATGGCAAATACTTTGATATTAATGAAAGTTGAGTCTCGCGCCAGAGTCACGAGCACTTTCTTCGCGCTCGTCAAGTTTGATTAATTTTTCTCGACCTGCAATTTTTAATTATCCACATCCGCTACGACTTGATTACGACCTTTCATCAATTTCCGACCTGAAGTTTCGCAATAATAAAATACGCTTGACGATTGTCTCATAACGACTCGGAGCGCTCTCATAAACTGCAATTACGGAATCGATTAATAATTTCGTCTGCGTGTAAAATTAATTTAAACGCGCCTTGAGGAATATCGTCTGAGAAATGAGATTGAAGTCAAATAGCTCGATTGAACACGCATACGTCGGGAAAATGAGATCAGCGTTAAACCAATGAAATTGATAACAGAAAAGCTGAGTTAGCTTTTGAGAGATGATATTTCAATTACTTGTGAATATATAATCTGGTTAAACACGAGTACGTATGACTGAACGTATATTAAGTCGTTCAGCGAAATAGCGGCACAAATTAATTAAAATTCAATTTGGCGGAAGTCAATAATAACAAATTGTACGCTTCGAGAAAAACGCAATAATAATAAATCTGTTAAATGCTGAAACGTCATACTATCGACCGAAACTGGACAGTAACGAAAGAGTAAACCATTTGCGCCGTCATTTTTCGCAGGTTCTGCCGTGCTATTCAAGAACCTCGAACGACGGCGCTACGAGGACCAAGGAGAGCTGTAGAGGCGACAAGATATGCAACGGTAATAATACCATGCAAGAGACCCTGCTGCCCAGTAACACGAAGGCGCAGAATCTCGAGGGATGCGAGATGATCATTCTGGAGCAGACGACGAACATCTCGAAGGAGCTGGATCAGCCGTCGAGCTCCTCGAAGGATTTCAACGACGTGGCACTGTGAGGGAAAACGCGAAAGGTACGCAAATACATTTCGTTACGTAAAGCTGTTAGACACGTTAGACGAAGCAAACATCAACTACCACAATGGAGATGCCTCGCGGCAGGGGAGAGAGGCTCGATCGTTCGCTGTCAAGCTGGTGACAGTGCACTGGAAAAAAAAAACATTTACTACCGTAGCTAATTATGGTTTGCTAAAAATATTTTGCTGTGCCATAACTATAACTTTCTAAATCACAGCAAACGATTTGCTGTCGCACCTAATACGATAGGCACAGCAGCAAAATATTTAGCTATCGCAACTAAATGTCAGATGTCCATATTTCACAACTGACATCTAGTTGCAACGTGCAGTTTTTAGCTACTTCAGTTACACTTTTCTCTCCGTGTGTACTTTTGCGACTTGGATACTGGCCAACTTTGTTCCTCGCCAAATTTCGTTCCATTCTGTAAACGTCTAAACGATCACCGTTACGGCGGATCAGATTTAAAGTCACTCTTGCCTCGCGCGGCGATAATAAAAGTTACCTTATAAACGGCCATTTAGGTTTTCGCGTGCGGTGTATCAGGAAATACGTGAGGATAAATATTTGAAAGCGCAAATCTGAAGCAGAGGTATTTTTCCCTACACTATACCGTGTTCTCTTTACTCTGTCACGTGCGATTTCTGCGCACTGACTTTTCAACACTGCCTTTTCGAATGTAATATTCGTTCTAATCTCGTCCCCTGTTTGCCGTGGGAGAAATAAAATTTCATGTTTATGTGTCGGGGGAGGGGGGGGAAGGACTTTCGCCCTTTGAACCCGCTCGGGAACCTCGCTCGTCCTAGGAAACTTGATTTTTCTGTTTCTTTCGGTGAGATGCTTTGATTTCGCGAGAACGTTCATCTCCGTCGCTTTTTCAACTTCCCTCGTACGTGTACTTTATGGGATTCCGTGGGCGGACCGACAAATGCCAACTGGCTAACATGTAGTGCGCACACAGCAGCGGCGTATGTACAGCGGACATACTGAAGAAAGGAATCCCGAGCTTTACGAGATTCGCGAGAGTGAGGAGAGCCGTTCGAACGCTCGCGCCCGATTTCCATCTCCGGCCTGGAAAGCTATACGGTCGAGAAAGCAGAGCGAAACACGAGAGATTCTCGCCGCAGCCGGTGCTTTCTCGCGGCGGAGAAATTTTTTGGTAGTTGACACCGTCGAGAATTCCACCGTCCACATTTGCGATCGCAGCCGTACAGCTCGTCCCCTTGCGCACTTTCCGCTGATGCGGCAGTATAGCACGTGCTTGCCCCAAACAGACAGATAGACTTACATAACGATCGCTGCACGAAGAGTTACCGTTTCATTCTCCGCCTCGTCGCGTCGCGCGAATCGAAACGAAATAGGAGATGCGTCGAGAGAAAATTGCTATAGATACCCACCCAGTCTGTTTATACGAGTCTGGTTATACCGATTGTGTGAGTAGGAAACTTCGATTAGAACAAGATCGATTGATTACCCCTGCGAGGGTAAATATTCCACGCTTGTGTAAAGTCCACTTTAGACCATTTGTAAATCGCCGTCACAGAAATTCTATTTATAATTTTATGTGCGACTACAATACGAGTGAACGGTTGAGGGGCATCGGAATGCGCATATACGATCGAGATACATGGCATTATATGAAATTGTAAATAAAATTTTTCTCCTGAATTCCGACGCGAATCTCTAGAGCTTAAGCATGCGGGATTGGAGACTGCGATCGAGAGGATATATTCAAATAAAACTTGAGAGAGAATAACTGAGAGTCGAGAAGTCTAAAATTTCATCATAAATTAATTTCATTTTTTTAAGTAGCTTTTTGTCGCCAGTGGTAATCAATTATCAACCAAGGAAAATTTAAAAAAAATCGCCCAAACTGGCAAAATTGATGTTTATTTTAATCACGACGTTTCGATCCCTTTATCGGGTCCTTCTCAAGTATAATCTGGAAACATTATAAGTAGAGGTGTGACATTTTGATGTTATTTCTTGTCATCTTTTGCGTTTTGTTTCTCCGGATTTTGCATTATTTTGATAGTCAGAGGTGGGCAGGGCTTCAATAAGACGACGTAGGCCCGGTTTCACCAACGTCGATTAACTTTGAACTTAGTTTAATTTGTTCGTCGTCTCTTTCCAACTGTTACTTTAGAAAGAGGCAAAGAACGAATTTGCGCTCTTTGCGTCTAGAAACATTCTATTTTACAAAAGCGAATCGAAACACTTGACAAATTTGTCGACAATGTACGATTGTACAATGTAAGATGCGCGATTCATCAACTTGCGCAAATTTTATCAACGCACCTATTGGCTACCAAATAGAATGTTTCTAAACGCGAAGAGCACATTGTAGATAGGCTTAAGTGACTCAAAATAAATGAAGTAATATGCACGCTATATCAAAACGTTTGTTTTCCTTATAAAACATTTCTAAAAGCGAAATTCCGAGATTCTTTGGAGCCCCTCTATATCGGGCCTTTGATTGCAATATACAAACATCTTTGCCCTATCTCCTCGGCGCGCCGATCGCCGGCCTGCCGCTGGGGAAATACAACGGGGAGGTAGGAGCGAATAAAAAGTTTCAGAGAGTCCCGGACCGTGAGATATTTTAGCGTCAGCGCAACAATACACGCCACGATCCAGACCCGAACGCGATTTCCCGTAAGAGAGAAGAGAATGTGAAGAAGTTCGGTAACACCGACGCAAACGGCCTCCGCACAGCCGGGAGTGACGCGTCACGGGTCGAAAGTTTCGCGAGAGTGAAGGTGGCATTGGATCTTGTCGAGAGACTTCCATATATTAAATCTCGAAGCACTTCCGATAGCTCACTCACGCACGGCTGGGCTCGTTTCTGTTTAAAAGCCGAGTGCAAGTTAAACTTCGAACGGGTAAAGCCCCGAACGGCGATATTGAATCGTCCTTTTATAGCGCGATGTGACGCGAAATGGCTTACGTAATATTTCATTATACGACGACGCGTTCATCTCCGATGGCTTGTTCTGTCGGTGTATCGAGCCACGCTCGATTCTGGTTGCAGCCGGTAAATATCATAGATGGGATAAAAAAATACGCGAGATTACAACCGCTGCGAGAACTGACGTCTGTCCGGCAAAATGCATCAATCGTAATAAAATCAATATTCACGAAGACATGTGACGGACGATAAGGGGCTGCTGGCTGGAGTGTTTCTGCACCCTTTGCACTTTTTGCATCTAGAACTGTCAATTCATGAGAACATTCGTGTAATATACAAACAAATTATGCAGTCCGAATGGTGGAACACTGTCGGTCTGTACACAAAAGCCACATAATTTGTACATTACCCAAGTGTTTTCATGAATTGACTAGGAGCAACCCTGGCGGAAAAATTTCTATAAATAACTACAAAAAATTGACTTGAAATAGAAATTTGTAGAAATTTTTATATCTTCGTTGAAACATTTATTTCTTTGTAAAAATATCTATAAAATAGTATCACAAATTACAATGTTCTCAAATCAAGAAATTATTGCAAGTAGTATTTCATGAAAATGTACAATTTTGTAAAAATTAGTACAAAACTTTACTAGTTTTAAAAATTTGAGAAACAACGAAATCTTAAAGAATTAAAACATCTGCTTACTTGTAGAATATTACAATAACAAAAGTGTTCCAATTCTAGCATTTTTATGTTGATTATTATAACACTTTTTAAATTTGCGTAGAATGTCTTAGATTCTGGCAGTTATATTTAATTTTTTTTTAGAATTTTGTAGAATTATTTCCGGCAGGGAAAAGGCGCAAAAAGTGCAGAATCACTCCAGCATCCCCTCTGGCTAACACAAAATTGCGTGAACTTTGAAATTGCGAATTAAATTTCAACGTTATCATTTGGAACTTCAGTATTTTCTTGACCGTATCTGGCATTTTTAATAATACAGGAAATTTATTGCGAGGCGTCTCGGAGGGGCTAGGAGACGCCCGCCTAGAGTGTAGGAAAGTCCAGGTTCAAGCCCCAGCTGAGGTAATATTTTTCGCAATAAATTTTCTGTATTATTAAAACTGCCAGATATGTTCAAGAAAATACTGAAGTTGTTAATTACTGCTGGCGACTTGAATAATATTCTTATTAGTTATCATTTGGGTCTTGAGAAATAAGTCAAAGTTTACGCGTTTCTCCTTATACAGTTTTGTCGCTTTTGTATCCCACAATTCGTTTTAAAACCTACCTAGTACATTCTTTTTCTAATTCGTACAAGATTAATATTATTCGTATCACTTTCATAGCGAGAAATAATCTTAATTTCTTAATTAGAGTAAACAATATTAAATTTTCACGAGAAAATTGATAATTCATGGCAGTAATATATCCATTTGTGGATACATTGGTGTTGAAACAGTGAATGGTAAAACAGTGATAAATGAATTTTACGTGAGTCGATTTCTAAAGATAATATAGCGACATCTTTCTGTAACTTTTTATCTAGAGATGAAGCAAACTAATTTAATATAAAGAGATTACATAACGATATAACAATACCCGCGTAAGCTGGATATGAATATTGCAGGGCCAGAGATAATGTCAATTAAAATACACCTTGGTTATCCTCTTGAATATTAAACAGATCGATCGGTCGCTATACATGTCCATATCTCAACGATCAAGCAGCTATCAAACTGATTAGAATGTCTAAGATGATTACACGGTGTGTCCTGTTATACGAGCGAATACGAAGGTAATAATGTGCTTTAAAAGCTATAATTACACGATCCCGAGATTAGACGCATTCATATGATACCCCTATTCGCAACATCCGAATCAAAAGAATATACAGTACCGGTCAAAATTATATTACTTTTCGATTTTTTGAGCACAACTACTGTAGCCTTAAAGTGCACGAATGAAAAATTAAAAAAACATGGTGTATTTTGTCAAATTCCGTTACCCTCCGTGTATAAGATGCACCTGTTATCAGGTGTCTACTGTAAAATTTTGAGCACAATTTCGATGCACGAAAGTTAT